AAGTGCTGCAGTTTTCTGTATTGGTGCTATGTGGTGAAAATTTGATGGTCCGTGGAGTGAGGGCAATTGTGGGGCTTTGCTTGTTGCACTTCACAGGACAGGACACTGTCAAATTCCCTGGAACGAAATGGCTACATCCGCATTCCGCGCCGCATCGGTATTCGCGTTTAGCTCTTACACCGGATTCGCTCTGGATGATTGAAGCTCTAAGCATCCTGGCGGCTGCGGCGCTTCCTTGACTGATTGTGCACAAGGCCTTGGTCAATTTGCTGACAGGAAACTCATGTTGAAACTCTCTTGGTTTGTCCACTACCGGAACAAGTCTGATGACTGGTTCACGGGAATACCTGACAGCAGAAAGCGCGGGGTAATAGGCAAGAGTTGTACAATGGTCTGCAGGGTTCAGCATATCCTCCCGGAATGCGTATTTATCGGCACTGGACGCTGAACCGGCTAACATTGCACCAAGAATTCTTGAGCTTAGCAGCGGGGACTACTAGCCAGTTACAGACATGCATATGCTTGCACATGCAGCCGCTCGACTTACTCTACCTAGAGCTTTGCACTGAGATGGAGTCGGGGGTGATTCTGAGCAATTCTCCGATTACAAAATCCGGGCGGAGCGCCAGGTAGTAGCTTCCAGGGACTTGTGTCTTATGCACCTGCAGTAGCATCGAGCTTGACAAAGACTCTGGATGGCGTGGATTCTTTGGATTCCTTGGACCCCACTTTCAAGTCAGCCTGAAAATCCCTGAGCCAACCAAGTTGGCATAGCGAGGGATGTGGGGAGCTTGATCCTGTCGCTTGCACGCTGATGGCTCAAACACTGGATTAGGGTTTAGGGTTTAGGGTTTAGGGTATCGGCATGTACCCAGTTTACGGTACTTACAAAAATTGATGGCCTGGAGCTGTCTATAAGTTACGAACTCTCCGCATGACTCAAACCTCAACCCTGCAAGTGCACCTTCCGCGTAACCCTTTCTTGGGGGGATTCTGCTGTAGCCCTGAGGTCCAAAACACCCACATACTAGTAGCACAGTTAGCAAGGCCCCAAGGAAATTTTCCTACAAGAGAGGGACCTCTTATTTGCCCGAACGTTCGTTACTCCCTCTTGTTTTGGAAGCCCCGACGTGGGTCCAGAGTATGTGCTGTTTTGGAGAGTTGGTCAAAATTAGAGTCAAGCTCATTCTCCCCATGATGTTATGGCCCTTAGTTTTCAGGGTTATATCTCCCTATACATCCCAGATATATCGTCTATAGACACCCGATGTAACCGCTCTAAATCCTCTAAATGGGCGCTTTCTTGGACCCTGTGGGTAGTGATGCAGACCCAGCTTCGTGCATCATCTGTGCCAGGGCACATTCTCAGAAGTGTTGAAAGCCCAATCCATTAAGCCTCCTGTCCAGATTGAGGGTTTAGGGTTTAGGATTTAGGGTTTAGGGCTCATGGTCTATTAGCTGAGGGTTAAGGGTTGAGGGATAGGGTCTAGGCTTCAGTCTTTTAATTCTGGGTGTAGCGTTCAGGGTTCAGGGTGCAAGGCTTACAAAGTTGACATTATGGACCACTTTGTAGGGGCACCTGCAACAAGACTAGGACACCCTAGAAAAAAGTTGGGATGCATGGGGGGTCTCGTTGCGAGGGGTCAACTGCCAATCGGTTCTTTCTGGGGTTCTTTGCTGTCCTTGCAAGAGCACTCAGCTTCGGGAACGTTTGAAAGAGACTGGCTAGGTTCACTAGTTGACGCCTTTCCTGCAGGGATACTAATGCGCACATGGAGGTCTTCGGGTTGCGTTGATCCTGCAATGTCAGGGTAGCCAAGCCTCCTTGACTAGCAGCCCCGAACTCCAAACCAAGAAGACCCGCTTGAAACCCAAAGTTCTGACCAACCCAGCACAAGCAACAAAGCAGGATAGACGCCCTGAAATTGCTTCTCGGATTTTGTTTACTTTTGAGATGAACAACGGGACCCTGCTATTCTTACTATTAATATTATTGATACTGTTATTACTATTTACTATTATTATTCGTCTTATTACTATCTTTATTATTATCGTTAACATTATTGTTATCACTGATAGGTAGGCAGAACTTCTGAGGTCTGGCAAGCATGTGGCCATCAAATGCATGAAGAATACCTTCGACAGCATTGATCAAGTGAACAACCTGAGGGAGATTCAGGCTGCTAAGCTAGTGATTTGGATGGTTTGGGGTGGAGTATGTTAGGGTTATGGGGTTGTATGGGGATAATGGAAAACAAAATGGAAACTATTATCATGGGTTATATAGGGTTTAGGGTTTAGGGGGGAGAATTAGGGCCTAGGGCTTTGGGGGGGTTATAGTCCAGGGATTAGGTTGCTTCGAGATCTTGGGCTTCAGGCTTCCGACCTCACCTTTGGTTGCAACTATGCTGAACTTTAGCCTTAAGCTGGAGCTTCCAAGTCCTTCAAAACTGGCCCGGTTTTGGGACGAACCATCAACCTGTCTGAAAGCTGCAGTCCCTGTCTAGAACACAAGCCCTAAACCTACACCCGTAAATCCCTAAACCCTAAACCCTAACCCTAAAAGCCCTCATTGGCGGGAGCAGTCCTTCAAGGCTAGTTCTTTTGACCAAGGGGTCTTCGGGTTTAGGGTTTAGTGTCCAGGATTTTCTGGATTATCTCCTAATGCTCCACGTTGAGATGCTGATGTGACTGAAGGGCTCAATCTACCTGAGGATTTCTTCTATCTGTTTACCTAATAGTAATATCAATAATATCAATGGTAAGTGTCATAGTAATAGAAGTAGTGATATTAGCCATGGCAACAATACTAATAGTAATAATACACTCTGGACCCGAAATCCGTTGCTGGGCTTTACGGGCAAGAGGTGGCAATCTCCGGCAAGTTTTGGGAGTCCTGGCACTTTCCGATTTCAGTTACAAGGAAAAACTGAGAAAACAAGGTCTCGAATCAAGCCATGATGCAGGGAACTACGGCATTTCTGCCACTTGTGAGCTCTGTTTGCGCAACTTGGGTGCTACGGAAGGACCCTCCAAATGCGACCTCTTGAAACGCCACCCTAAACCCTAAACCCTAAACCCTGCTAGACCGGCCTATGTTTCGGTCAGGCTCTCCGAAGACTCGCCGGGCATGCGAACATCATCAAGCTGCACGTCCCGCGGCAAGAACTCTTTAAGCGCCTAGAGCCGTATATAGTCCCCTATACATAATAGTTTCCATTTTCTTTTCCATTATCCCTATATAGCCCCAATCTAACCCAATATAACCCAGGGGGTTCCTAATGTGGAAATAAGTGCAACTCTCAGTCGAGGCAAGTTCCTGGTTGTCTTCAGGATCCCCATGCACCACCATCAGTGGGGTTTAGGATTAAGGGTTGTTGGGTCTACTGACCTGCAAGCAGTTGTATGCCATGATGCGTAGCTTAATGCATCGCGCTCGAAGAAAGAAACCCCTAAATTCTGGACGGTTAAGGGTCGAGGGTGGCACCCCCAATTCCTAAGACCTCTACAGCGGTGCCCCTGAAACTCAAGCCTATAGTCCCCCTTAAGTAGATAGAATATGGCTTCGGGTATACTAGTATATGATCCCCATATACCACATATTCTATCTACTTAGGGGGCTATAGGACAAGACTGTTCCCGGGAAGACTTCTTGTCGCGGGATGGTCCACCTTTCTACATGCTACCGGTATTTGCCCGTAGAGGCGGCCAGGCAAGTGTCAAAGGGTTGCTCTGGACAACAGTCTGACAAGGCGAACACGCCTGGCCCCAATCCTCAAAGAAGCTGAAACCACTCTGAAACTTGTTGCCCAAGCTCGTGTGAGATCCCCAATTTTTAATACCCTTATGAATCCTCTTGAGTCACATCCCTACATCCCTCAGGAGATTCTCTATGATGAGCCCACTGGGCGATTGGCGTTGGTTTTTGAACTGATGGACATGCACCCGGCCTGTACCATGTTAGGGGGTTTCAGGGCTTCATCGTGGAGGGCTTCAGGGTGTGGGGCTTTGGCTTTGGGCGTTGCGTCCGTGAAGGGCTGCAGGAGCTTTGGGATGAGAGCTCAGGGTCTAGGGTCCGGAGCTTTGAGCTCCAGGCTTCGGGTCAGATGTCGCCAGCAGAGTGGCAAGCGTGCCTAATAAAGCTTTTCATTCTCACTTAGCCTCAAGTTCATTGCCGCACGGACTTCCAATGTATTTCTTAAGCCCAAACCCTGAACCCAACCTTTCTTTATCCTCCATGTTATAAACCAAGGCCCAGACTCCCCGAGTATGGACCCGTGATCCCTGGATTCTTCCGAAATGGCACGGGCCCATTTTAGCGGCATATGGTAGTTTCCCGAAATAAGGGGACCCGGATATAGACCCTGAAATACTAGAGTCCTTATTATAGGGACCCCAAATGGTACCCCTAATTCTGGAACACCTTCATATGACAATCTTACATCTTCCGCTCTTCGAGGTCAGGCTGTGTAGCAGGTTTCCGCCCTGAGAAGGATAGGACGAAGGACAACACCAGCCCCGCACCTCTTAGTTTTCTGGCAGAACAAAATTCACTGGAAACTACTCTATCATATATATATATATGTGTTCGGGGTTTAGGGTTTAGGGTTTAGGGTTTGGGGTAATGGAAAATGAAATGGAAACTCTTTATATGTATATATATATATATAGGGGTAATGGAAAATAAACTGGAAACTGCTACAGCTTATCCTTGGGAAAGCCCTAGATACCGGACACGTTAGACCCTCATGGGCTTCACTTTTACATCCAAGCACAGCTGGGGGCTTGGGCTTTAGGGTTGTGGTTGAAACTATGCTGGCATTCCTGCGGCCCCCGTCGAAGAAGATGAGACCGGACGAGACCCCTAAACCCTAAACCTTAAACCCTAAACCCTAAACCCTAAACCCTAAACCCAACAAGCCCACCTACAGCTCAGGAATGTCTACGAAGCTATCAAGGGCCGGAGGCATTATTTACCAGACACCAAGACCAAGCACTACATGTTCGAATCTGGGCCTTCACTTGGGGAATTTCCGAGGAATTGGGATTGCTTTCTGGGTTCCCGCAGCTGCAACTTTAGGTTCCCAGCTGTGAAAGATTTGCAGGCTCAACGGTGCAAAGCAGATTGCTACTCCTCAGCAGACACGTTCCACCTTCCTTTCGAAAGCACGGGCTCCTTATGCTTAAGCTCATACACTGCGCGGCCTCCCTGTATCTGAAAGAGGAGAACTCTCACAATGCATCTACCCATCGGGAGGTTTGGAACAGCCCAAGTTACAAGCTATAACCAGGCAATATCGGGTTTAGGGTTTAGGGTTTCCTATAGTCCCTTATAGGCAACACGCGTGTTTCGTAATCTACCTACGTAGCTAAATCCCCATTTCATCCCAGTTTCCATGTCATTTTCCATTTTGATTCCATTCGATTCTCAATTATTGGGGTCGTATCCCTAAACCTTATACAATCTCTAATTCTTCTTGCATAACCCTTATATAACCCTGTATGACCCTACCTAGCTCCTAGGAGATCTTGAAGGGCTTGGATCACATGCACCGGAATGGCATCTTCCACCGGGATGTGAAGTAGCAGCCTCGGTGACTTTGAATTCCAGTTTCTTCTACGATTATATAGGGATCATATAGGGGCTGTGTATGGAATGTATAAGGATTTCATGGACGTTATGTAGGGGTTGTAGTATAGCGATTCTTCATGGGTTAACAGAACTATATAGGCATTAGAGAGGCAAGTCATGCAGGGATTGCAGATCCTGGGATATAGGGTGTCTAGGGTACCCCCTGATAGTGGAATCAGATGAAGAATCAAATGGGACACGAAATGGACACAGGGTCTACATAGGTAAGGTTTTAACCGGCTTAGAGTGAGTCATTCTTGGAGATAGATTTTCAGTGAGATTAGAATTTTGAGTCGTAACTCAAAGAGGAACGGGAGAGATCGCAGTTGTAATTGGGGTAGCCTTCTAGAGTTCTTCCTAGGGATTCCTAGGGTAAATTTGGATCCGCATAGAAAGTTTGTTTGCTCTCTAGTGGCTTGTTAGGGAGCAGGTATGAGGATTAACAGTTGAGCCTTTGCGGCATGCATGCGGCATGCCTCCCTAAAACCTAAACCCTAAACCGCAAAACCCTAAACCCTAAACCTTCCAAGGTAATGTGGCCACGCCACTCTGTAATATTCACCAGTTCGCCTGTGTCAGAACCGTCCTCGCGTCCGGGTCGACGGACGACTCTCTTTCATCTCGTTAGCGGGTACCTACCTCCATATGGGTACGTGCCAAAGGTTGGATCCCTGTAACCCCCAGCACACAAGAGCTTCTTTGAGGAGGAGACCCAAACAGCTTTAAGTAGTTTTAACAGGGCCCTTCTTGGGCTTCCATGTATGCCCAAAAGAGGTTTTTCCAGTTTCTTTTCATTTTTCTTCATTCGCTGCTAAAAACCAAGCAGAAACGTGGTGCGTGATTCTCTCCTTAGGAGTGTCTTGATACGCTCAAGGCCCCATCCGCTTTATTAAGGCCCTCCCATAGAAGAACGTTTATGGAACCCAGACGACCTTATAACCCGGCAGTGTATTTGTTGAAGCCTCTATGGTAGCTTGTCTTCAGTCTCGTCGTGAGGCCTGAGAATCTGCTTCTCCTGGATGACGAGGCAAGGCCAAAACTGAAATGTCTCTGACCTGCGCAGCGTGGGAAACTGCAGCGCTCGCACAGGGAACAGGAGGGGAGTATTGCAAAGCATCAGAGTCAGCGGAGCGAGAAGCTATAGGGTTTTGCAGGAACGTTTCAGACTTGTAGGTCCCATTTTGGGACGCCTTTCCAGGAACCTAATCAGGAGGCGGGTTGCGCATGGATTGTACTGGGACTTGCAGTTGTGCATTTGCATTCATCGATCTCTCGTGTTTTCGGCGGGTGCAGCCCCAATTCAGTCATCACGAAGCAAAGTGCATAAGCTTCTTGACGGCGGATCTGTGGTGAGAATGTCTGATGTGGGGTGTCCACATCCACATGCTTGATTGATGGCATGTGTTGTGTCCATAACGACTGCGGCCATGAACATTATAGTGAGCATCTGCCGTTGTTGTTGTTCCTACTGTCCTGGCATTCTTGCTACGATTACTATGATGATGGTGACGATGATGATGACGATGATGATGATGGTGATGACGATGAAAAGGCCAGGGTCTTTGCCGTAAGCGTATCCTTCTGCTGAGAAGCGCTGATCTCTACAGAGTAAACCCAAATTCAAACTCTCAATCCAGCAGTGTGCGTGTCGCTTTACAGCTGAGCCTTGAACAAATGCTAAAAGCCTAGATTAGAACCCTCAACGCAAAGTCCCTTATCACCGAACCCTAAATCCTGAACCTCTTCAGATCAAGCTTGCTGATCTGGGGAGCTGCCGCGGGATCTACTCGCGGCAGCCTTTTACCGAGCCCTGGCCAACATGAAGGTTTCCCAAACTTAGGGGTACCCCCTCCAAGGGCGTATATAGCAGTATATAGTGATTAGAGTTTAGGGTTTCCCAAAATAAGGGGTAACTTCTTGGGGGTTCCCAATAAGTATTTTTGGGATGTATATTCCCTAGCTAGGGAGACGACCACATGTGGATGCTGCAAATTGTTGCGTAATCCTGAAGGAAACCAGTAGAATCCTCGCATTTCCTCAATATATCCTTAGGGCCCTCAAGGGGCAACTCTATGCTGACAAGCTTCCATGTATCCCGGGACACGACAAAGCAAGGATCCTACTTAAAGGATGTATTGCTGGCTCTTCCAGGTTCTTAACATTATGGGCCTCTTCCGTCTGTTGCAGGGAATCCATGAGCCATGTGAATTCCTGAAAGGACCACGGTTTCAACGTAGGGGGTTTGGGTTCGATGTTCCGCCTTCCTTTAAAACGCCATTGCTTTTGGGGGTAGACATAGCCCGGTCCCACTTCGAGAACTGCCAATTTGGAGAGCTTTCAGTAGAGAACGAATGTTGGGGGATTTTGTGGAGGGACACCCTGGTAGCGACACCTAGTCCAATTTCGATATAGAATCCTGCAATTATCATCATCATCACCATCATGATCATCACTGTCATGCCTAGCAGCACGATCAACATCATGAAAATCTTCATCATCCGTGCGGAGTGAGTAGACAATCCATGTCGGATAGCGACTCCTTTCAGCGACTCCTTTCATGACACATGTTGACTCAGCTGAGGAGTATATCTCAACCCGATGGTATCGTGCTCCTGAGCAGCTAGACTCAATGGAGGGTTTAAAGGTTTTTGGGTTTAAGGGGGTTCAGGTTTGGTTTAGCTTGCATAAACCTTCAAGGGTAGAGGGTTTCTGAGCCTGCGGAAACCTGAGGCCACTCACAGGTTTAAGATAAGGGGTATGAAGGACAGCTACGGTGACACAATGTTTCTTCTGTCAGTGATAGTTCTTCAGTTGCAGTACGAAAGAGCTGAAGCCTTGAATCTGAGACCCCTAAACCCTAAACTCCAGTTTCCATGCCTTAAGCCTAGACCTCAACCCTCAGCACCAAACAGTCTAAACCGTAGCCGCGTAGGGACCCTAGATTCCCAGAATTCTCTAGGGGTTTGTAGATAGGGTTCCTTTAAAGGATCATGCATGCATTATTTTAAGAAGCAAGCCAGGCCAGAGGCTGAGCAATCGGCGCATTACTTGGTTTTTGCGAACTGTGGTGTACTCGGCCTGCTGTCATAATTCCTCACATGGCATGCTTCAGAGGATCCAGACCTCCTTCAGTGCTCGGACGCTTTTTCCAAGCCCTGAGGAAAGCTGCGCACCATAGGTCCAAGACCCCAAATCCATGGACGAGGGGCATGATGTGCAGGCAAGGAATTGACCTTAACATCACCAAAGCATGTTGAACCTTGGAAGTTCCTGTGCTTGGGCTTGCCCAGGCCATTTGTACCCCAAAGCTCCCATGCATCTTCGGGTTTCGGACGGTCCTTGCAGGAAGTTTGCTGGATGATTCCCGATGATCCTTCAGAATGACCCACCAACCCTGTGGTAGCCCGCATGCTTCTCGCATGGTCCACGCAAGGTGTTTGCTCACGGATGGCTATTATGGGTTCAAGATGGACCTGTTCGCTGCAGGCAGTCTTTCAAGTGTGTTCGATTGCGCCTGAATCATTTCCCATGATATATGAGACAGGGCGGTCTAGAGAAATTACCGGAGATTCATTCGGCTTATTCACGATTCTTACGTCCTGGTTTTTATGCGAGTACACAATTGTATTCTACAGATACACACAGGCATGTGTTGACTTGGACATCTATGCTTATTCATTGAAGAGACCTATCCAAAGCCCTAACGTAGCCTCCTGCCAGCAAAAAAGAGACTCTCATGAATAATTCGGGTCCGTATAGGGTATACGCAATGATCGCAGGATGCTGGGAAAAATGTGCTAGCTACGTAGACCTCGCCATTCCGAAGCTTCAGGCGTTGGATCTACCCAGGTGGCTCGTGCGCACTGTCGTTGGTGCTAAACCTTAAGCTCTCACATCCCCCATGCAACTGAGTTGCCCCTTTATTGGGGTCTTAGGGGGGGCTTGTTTAGGGAACCCATGATAAACGCTTTAGGGACATGAGTTCTTAAGGGCTTCGCGCGGCGAGGTCAGAGGTCCCTGAAGGCTCCGACGCCTGTCTTAGAGTATAGGGTTTACGGTACCGCTAAGGATGGCTGAGCGGACATAATCTGATATTCACGGGGTCAACAGCCCCCCTGTAAACAATCCTTATATGTCAAAGGCAGAAAATAGTCACCAAAAAGGTTTCTGCTAGCTTACAACTCTTCACACATTTCTGGAGTCGGGCGGGTAGGTAATCCCTAGATGACCTTCATACACACAATCCCAGATTCCATTTGATTCTCGATTGTTCGATTTATGTACGCCCCGACATTCAATTTCAAAACAAGCCCAGTTGCTGCTTGATTTTCATTGACTTCCTAAGCCCTGAACCCTAGACCCTAAACCCTAAATAGAAGTTTCCGTATTATTTTCCATTATCCCAATATAACCCGAATATTAACCCCAAGCCCTGGGAGTAAACCTCGCTGTGAGGATGCGTCTGGTTTGAGATTGTCGCGCTGTGACCTGGCGAGAGAGTTGAGGGTTTAGGATCTGGGCTCTAGAGTTTAGGGTTGGGGTTGGGCACAATGCAGAAGCTGTGTTACAACCTCCAATGCCGTGAAGCCCTGCAGAAGCATTTGATATCCAGACCGTTTGACTTCCCAGGTTGCTGGTATGCAGATTCTTCCGTAACCGTGCGCAAACGCACCTGGAGAGGTAGTGAGTTCTCACAATTCAGAACCCATCCCTAAGCCAAGCAAAAGCGGGTGTGGGGTTGGCACTGCAGTTGTCAGGTAGATCCTGAAAAGCTCGAGGCGAGTCCTTGTTGGGGGGTTCTGTTCTATTTGAGGGATCCCTTGGAATTTGCTCTTATAGAGCCACGTGCGGTGCAGACCTGTGACTCCACTGTGCGCTAGGGTGTCATAGCTAGTACCAGCTAGCACTTGCTGGGTCATGGCTTCTAATGCTCCGACAGGGATAAAGTGTACACATGAGATGAATTATGCGAGGTCAATTGTGCAAATTAGGCCTGGAATCTGCGGACCCAAAGAGACCACATAAACATGAGGCTCGCCGGGATGTTCATGTGCGTTGGGTCCTCTTCCCAATCTCCCTTTAAGGTGAAATGCTGCCCTAAGCTTAGGAAGCCATGACTTCTTGGCAAGACTTCCCTAAGACACCCCAAAAGTTGCCGACTCGTGACATTCATGTACTTATCAGAGAAGCATGAACCGCTGCGACTTGAAACTTACGAGTGAAGGGCACCGCGTCTCCCTCACCGGTTGGAAAGGCATGGCTGACTTAATCCCTTCTTCTAATAACGAGATGCTCCACTTACCGATTAGTAAGTCACCCTAGTCTAGTGGGTAGCAGGAATCATCTTCAATACTAGGAAGGTTGGGGGATGGAAATGAACATTCGCATGCCCAAGTCCCTGAAGCGACATCCTGGTTACGGATATGACATAAGGATAGGACTGCTGCCACTGTTGTTGCTGCTGTGTAGGCTGAGACAGCTGCAGCAACAACAGCAACGGCAATGGCAACGGCAACGGCTCCAATTCCTACTCCTGCTACCGTTGCAGCTGCTGCAATTGCTGCTACTGCTGCTGCTACTATTGCTACTACGATCACCACCACCATCACCAGTACGACGATGGCGATTGCGACCTCAACGATGACGACGACTACTGCAACCAACGCCTAAATCTAAGGTTCCCGCTTTTTCCCGGCCAGAATGAGTCGGATCAGATCCAGAAGATTCACAACGTTCCTGCGCTGAGGATTGGAGTTTTGTGGATAGGCGGGTTGAGGATTTCGTCGCCTAGCTGTAGGAACTTGACGGTTTGCAAACCTAGTGCCTTTTCTGCAAGCTGACATATGTGGCGGTTGTGGTAGAAGGATGCTCCGAAAAGGAGCCTGCACACCTGGCATGCTCAGCAGAGTTCTAACACCCCAAATCCAAAGCCTTGACAAGAAAGGCGTGCCCAGCCTTAGTTTTGAACCCGCGCTCCGTGCTCACACCTGGCATGGGTTGATGGAGGTATTAGTACCCTCTCCTAAGCCAGCCTGCTATCCGCTATAGCCCCTTTTTAAAAGCAAGCACGGAAAACTAGGGTTTTGAGGGGTGCCATATTCGTTAGGCGTGCAAGAGGCGACGCTTGCCTCCGCCGCTCCAGGCCTCAAAATTCTGCATCTGGCTCAGATGAGCTCCCTTGATCGTTTTTCTTCTGCAGACAGGGCTTCAGCTTACCTCCACAGACTTCAGCTTCTATCACCTGCATTCGTTCTTGGATATTTCATATCAACATTGAGTACGTTTGCAGTGCAGTTCGGGTCCTGAACCGTGGATCCTGGACCTGGCAACTTTCACCCTGAAGTCCCGGAGCTCCCACACCTCAAGCACATGAGCCGTAACCTAAACTCCTTAAAGGGGATCTTTTTTTTGGGATCTTATGAGATCATATAGGGGTCTACTGTAGGGGTTATTAAGGGGATACTAGGAGTTTAGACTATGGCTTCCATGAAGTCCAAGGTGTTAGGAACGCCTTCCCCAGAGTTGCTGGCCAGCAAGTTCAAGCGGAGTCTTTGCCTGCAGGGAGTCAAGCGGCCTTTTTTCCGGAGAAGGTATTTGGGCTTTTTGAGGGACACTCCCGGAAACTAATATGGAAATCCAAAAAAGGCTATTAAGATTACAGCCACTGAAAAAGGGGGCTATATGGATGTCCATATTAGTTTGGGGGAGTGCAGCTTCAAGGTTGGATTTGTTGTTGGGGAAGGTGTTGCACAGGACGGGGGGTGTGAGCTGACTAACCATTTGCATTAAGCCCGAGAGCATTAAAGCCGAAACCCTAAACCCTAAACGCTAGGCCCTCAAATCCTGAAAAGCAGTTTCAAATTTCAATTTCTATTTTCATATCAAATGACTCTCTCTACATATCCCTAAATGTATGTACATATATATATATATATACATTGATATACCTACCTACCTGTAGTAGCTTTCTGGTGGTCGTGGCCTCTCATCTTACTTCCTCAAACTTCCGTGAGCGGGCTTGGGTGGCAAACAGCGCAAGGCAGGTCGGTGCACAAGTTTCATTTCTTGGGTGGCCCCTTTTGATTGCAATTGCAGAACTGATACCGGTCTTGTAGCTCTTTTTTGGCTTTGGGGAGTCATTTACATACTTTTGGGGGCCAGGTAGAAAAAGAATAACATCAGACATAGTGCGCGTTGTGGAACTTCCAGAGCTGCGCAGTCCATAGACTCCTTATCCTGTGCCCGCCATGTGAGATGCATTCTACAGAAGAAGTCCTGTCTGTTCTGGATTAGACGGTCCCCTCCTAGGTACAGACGCCCTCACTTTCTAAGAAAACCGGATTAATTAGTACATATATATATGTATACACATACGGATATATTCATATGTATGTATACAGATTCACATATATATATATGGTACCCCCCCCCCCATTGACCTACCC